AATAAGTCCACTTTCCACTTGAGATGGCCCTGTTGGAGATGCAGCTTTGCGCAGGCCCAGGCTATCTCCGGGGCGCATTAGGAGGCAGCCACCATCGCAGACTCACCGCGCGGCGCGCTATGTGCCAAAAAGTGATTGCACCCGCTGCTTCAGGTGGCGCATGGCAAGGCCAGCTGCGCGGCCTCCTGGACATTCACTGACGACGCGGCGACACGAACCGAGAACACCAAAGAGAACACCGTGAGTCAGTTGCATGATGTCACGATGGGTTTCACAGGCTGAGCGAAGAAGGGCAGGTTGGTGAGTTTCGACAAAAGAGCGTTGCCTTCGTCAGATCTCAGTGCAGGTCGAGCTGTGATGGATCGATTGCAGAAACATGGATTGCCTCTGAGTTCCGCGCTAGACGCCGTGGACTTGGGAGTCGATGCGCCAGCAGGGCGGGCGCGCACCGCCAAGAAGGCTGGAGGAGCCACGTTGACATCAGGAAGGCGCAGATCTGGACGCATCTGTCAACCCCGGCAACATGCACAACTACGATCGGAATCTGAAAGGCTTGGTTCAAGCGGGCGTTGCCGCGGAGATTTGTTGGGCACTGATGTCAAGGGCTTTCGCCATCCAGTCGCCTCATGGGTGCCGTCGAGCAGCAAACTCTTCGGTTGGCCCGATGGAAGGACAATGTTTAAGCACAACATTGGCTGTATTGTTCGGTCCGAGGCAGCCTGGATTGGAACTACGAAGATCTCTGGCTCGAGAATTTTAGCTCTGCCGAGGACAGATCGTAGCATTCATCACCGAATGGCGATGGCCTGGCCTTACATATCTCGTCGATTGGAACGTTCACTCATGGAGGTTAGCTCGGGGATAAAGTTCAGCGGTTACGTCTACCTTGATGGATGCGAGCTGGCAAATTAGCAGTACATTCCGGTGGTGAAAGGTCCACCAATGGCTCACTGGAGGAGTGGCAGATACCTACCTCTCGATTGGCTGGACATGATCCCACCGGCTCCTGTGTTTCCGATTTGGTTGTCGGGTACGTTTCTGATGCTCGGTCGCAAAGTTAGAATTCGGTTGCGCATCATGATGATGGAGAATGATTCGAAAGCGGTGGATAGATGTATTGGGCCAAATTGGAGCACATTCGTTTTGCGAAAAAAATGTGAGCTCTGCACTTTCGGCTTGGATGCTTGCGCCACGGCGGTCGCGCAATGGAGTAGCGATCGACAGTTTTTGCTGAGTCCCGCCGCGGAGAGAAGACGGCCCCCCACATGCGGCGAGAACACGGGACCCTTTGCCACCGAATTTGGCGCTGCCCGCTCAACAGGCACCATCGCGATTACGCGAAAGCGGAAAGACTTGTTCCTCCAGCTTTTTGCGCCTTTTGCCTCTCAGCCGTCGTCGTGGTTCAGCGGGGCCCCGCCCGCTGGGCCCACTCCCTTTTTTTTTGCGGGGCCCCACGGGGGCCTCATTGGGGCCACCTATATAACCCCAGATCTCTCTGCGAGCGCTCGGTTCCTGAAGGCCCCGGGCACTCTTTGGCGGGATGCGGGGCTAGCTTTGGGGGCAGTTGATCTTATGGCCCCCGCCGCCGTGGACGCGGGTCAGCGGCGGCGGTCCCCAGGAGGGCGGGGCTTGCGGTGGTTCCCAGCAGGGCGAGGCTTGAAAAAGAATATCATGGCTGGTGCATTGAGGCCCGTGTTTCGGAGATCCTCCGAGGGCCTCTTCCGACGGCGCCTCGCTCTGAGCTCCGAGTTGTTGCCTTGTTCCTGGAGGATCTGTAGGTCCTATGCTCTTTGCAACGGGCCGTAGGCCCTTGTGGGTTGGGTGGAGGCGGGGGCGGCCTTAGAGGTTTGGCAGGGAGAATTGCGACCCCTGGCTGCGTATCCGATGTGCCTTAGAAGCCCGCGGCGGCTCCCAGGTCGCAGTCGGATGGGCCTTTTCGCGCGTCCCGCTGGACACCCCAGGCGTTTCGGAGCATGAGCGCCTTGCGATAGGAAAGAAATGTTATGATGAGGGAGCGTGCGATGCTGCGGAAAGATCTTGGCAGTCGCCGGCCACCTCCGTTCCCCCGACGGATGTTTGGGACGCCGTGGCAGTTTTAGCCCGTCGGTGAGCTCGAAATGTGTTGGTTGACGCCGCAGCTGCGGACCCCAAGAGGGACCGAACCACCGCGGAGGTTGACCGTCCCAGGAAAGGCTCTGGGTCAGAAGTTGTTGCCAGGGCGAGTTCGCACAAGGCCCCACCCATGGGCCAGGTCGTTTGCTGCCAGATGTGCGGAGTGGTTGCCCAGGAGAGGAAAAAATCCTGGGGGCTTCGGTTCCGCGTGCGGACCTCCGTCCGCTATGCTCCCAGAGTTTCCCAGGGATGTCGCGGTTGCGGCCTGGGGACTGATCCAAGTCGGCAGCGTGATTTTAGATGTTTCGCGTTCCCTGGGTTCTGTTTTGGGGCGCACAGTCAGTAGTTCTGTTTCGCGTGCGGCCGCACCGTGGTCGCTGACGGTTGCCAGCTTTCCAGCACGTGCCCCGCTGCCACACGTAAAGTGACGAACAAGTGGTGTCGAACCCTACAAGTCAAAAACATCCAGAAATTGAAGTTGAAATCCTGGGGCACCATACTTCCGGGCACTTGTGAGAAAGCGCGTTCTTCAATGCTGAGAGGGTGGGGTCGATTTTTGGACAACACCGCGTCCGAGTCAACAGGAAACCGTCAGCATTGGAGTAGCGCTGCCACAATCACCGAATTCGGAAGTCTTCTGTTTAATTTTGACGAGGCTTGTAGTGATGCAGGCCGCTAAGAGCGGCGCGCGATTCGCTGCATGGCCGGGTCGTGGTCGCCTCCACCGCCCGAGCATCGGCGATGCAGAGCGTTGGCGGCCAGGTCGCGTCGGTACCGAGGCCGTCTGAGACGGCGTCATCTGCGTGCGTCCCACCTGGGAACATCCTGGCCCCAGCTTGCCAACCTCGAACTTGTCCCTATCCCTAAGATTGACACACCCAAAAGCGATGACAATCTCAGGGATGCGCCCTCAAAAGGTAAAGGGAACTCCTGAGATTGGCATCGTGATGAGGAGATGCCCAGCATAGGGATAGGGATACAGTCGGAGCCCTGAAGAAGGAACCCTTTCCGTTGGGGAGGGGCTCCGTGCTCCTTAAGTGTTTCGCAGCGTGCCTTGGATGTTCCTTGGGTTCTCGATACGAAATCGAAGTTCAACTGATGGAAAATTGGGGCCTCGCTCCTTATTTAGGGTTCCTTAGGTCAACGCCCCGACTGTATGCTCCAGGCCGGCAACCAGCGCGCCCTTCCCTGCAGGCGGCGGCTCCAGCCCAAACTGATGTCAGCTCTCGGCGGCCGGGCGCCGGCCGCAGACCGTCCTTCGCTCCACCCTTTGGGCGTGTCCTTTCCTCCTCCTCCTCCTCCTCCTCCCTCCTCCCTCCTCCCTCCTCCTCCTCCTCCTCCTCCTCCTCCCTCCTCCTCCTCCTCCTCCCTCCTCCTCCTCCTCCTCCTCCTCTTTCTCCTCCTCCTCCTCCTCCCCAACCCAAGGCTGGCGGCCGGCCGGGCGCCGGAGTGCCCTGCACACGGTGCTTCGCAGAACGTTCCAAAACGCGTTCCTCGCAGCTGCGCTCCGCCGTCGCTCTCTCCTCCTCACTCCGTCCTCGCTGCCCCCCGCCTCGACCCTGCCTCCCCTCGATCCTCGATCCGTTCACCTGGCAGCAGGTCTGCGTCAGCTGGCGGGGGGTAGCGAGCAGCAGCGCCCTGCATGCTCAGGCAATGACAGCCTGGACCCCCGTCAACAGCACCCCAGTGGCCCCAAGAAGCGCCCAGATGGCCCCACGAGACACGACATGGCCCAAGGGGGGCCCTTTGAGCCCCGGCGAGCGCCCCGGACGAGGCCCCAGCGGGGCTCCACTGGACCCTGACAGGGCGCGCATGGCTCCGCCACCCGTGCGCGCCAGCCGCGCACGAGGCCCCCCTGCGACGAGCCCCGATGGGCTTTCGTATATCTCGGCGTATGTCGCTGGCGTGGCACAGCGGCACATCCGAGCACGGGCGAACTTTCAGCTTGTTTGGCGGCTTCGCCCTATCTATGGTAAGGCTGTTGGCATTGATGTCTTCAGGAAGGCTGAGAGTCATTCTGGACGATGACGAGCGTGCTGATCACCTAGCAGATTGTGGTGTCGCTGGAATCTTACGTGACCCAACTGACGTATATCGTTGGGCAAGCTCTGCGATCTAATAATATGTAGTGCTACAAGGTCTCGCAGCCCCTGATCTCTTGCAGCGTCATCTATTCCAGCCCCAGATCATGCACAATCTCGGGCGGATCCGAAGGGCGCTTCGGCAGGGAAGTCGTCCTTTGGCCGTGGCGACGGCACCCGCGGTGCTGAAACCAGCGGGCCTGAGCCTTACACGGGACAGAGAAGGGAATGGCGTGTTTCTTTTTTTTGTTCGTGCGGTAGCCATCCATGTTGCCGTGTCTTCACGTGTTCATGTATCCATTTGGGTGGCTGCATACGTCGAGCATTTTGCACAGTTGTTGTGTCTTCTACAAATTCGCGGGGCAGAGCATGTTCTGGGGGGGTTCTTTCCTCTGCGGCTCCGTGTTCCGAATGCGAGCCCCTCTTAGGCAGCGATTGGCTGCAACAGGCCTCATTCGCTTGCTTTTTCCAGAGGCATGCAGCCCCTGAGCAGCGCGTGCGAAATGGCCCAGGATTTCAGCTGTCTCGCCTTCTCGCGCCTCCGACGGTCCAAGACGGTCCCAGCGGCCTCGAAGATGGCATACAATCGCCCAAGAGTCACGACCCCAAGAGGGCCCCAACATGGCCCAAGAGGCCCCCTGTGACGTCTCCCAAAGGCCGACGCCGCGGATACAGATTCGCAAGTCTCCCTTTGCCGAATCGTTTGCGAATGTGTCCCACGGGTACACAGTAGTCAGCTACAGCGCTGGGATCAGGGCGTGCGAAAGGGGCGAGCAGTGGCAGCGGGCACTGTCGCTGCTCGGCGAGATGCGGGAGGCGAAGTTGGGACCCGACGTGATCAGCTGCAGCGCTGGCGTCAGCGCGTGCGGGAAAGCCGAGCAGTGGCAGCAGGCGCTGTCGCTGCTCGGCGAGATGCGAGAGGCGAAGTTGGGACCCGACGTGATCAGCTGCAGCGCTGTCGTCAGCGCGTGCGCGAAAGCCGAGCAGTGGCAGCAGGCGCTGTCGCTGCTCCGGGAGATGTGGGAGGCGAAGTTGCGTCCCGACGTCATCAGCTGCAGCGCTGTCGTTACCGCGTGCGGGAAAGCCGCGTGGCAGCAAGGGCTGTCGCTGCTGAAGAGGATGTGGGAGGTGAATCTATATTCCGACGTGATCAGCTACAACGCTGGGATGGGTTTATGCGATGAAGCGGGGCAGTGGAAGCGGGCGCTGTCGCTGCTCGGCAAGATGAGGGGGGCGAGTCTGGAGCCCGACGTCATGAGCACTGCCTTTCTGGGCGGAGCACCGTCCCGGAACGAGAGGCAGCGCCAGCTCCGGGGCCCCCGAAACAGTGGACGGCTTGAATGAGGAGCACGTACTTTTCAAAAGGGGCTCGGTCGTTCCTTAGGCTTGCATGAGTTATTTATCGTTCCGCATGCGTTATGTATTATATATGTGTATATCTATATATGCTTATATATAGACATATCGTTCCTTATGCGCTATTCCTTGGACAAAAGGAGCGTCGTTCCTTATTTATCGTTCCTGAGGTCAGGCCGAAAACTGCACCGGCCCAGAAAGCTTCGAGGACGCCCCAAGCGGGTCGCAGAACGTTTCCAGGGCAGCCGGGGTGCGCACCTTGAGGGACTCGGATAAGCTTCAGACGCGCCCAAGAGGGTCCCAGGACGCCCAGAAGGCTCCAAGACGCTCCCAGGAGGCTCGAAGATTGGTCCACTGGAGAGGCGAACATCGTTTAGATATTAGGTGGCTGTTGCAAGTGGCAGGCGCGTGTCCAGGCTCATTCAACAAGAGCTGCAGGATTTAAGCACGGGCGCTGGGGAGATGGCCATTCCAATGGGTGCCACACCTTGCGGTGAGCTTGGCGCAGGTGGGTTTCCACACCTTGCGGTTACACTTGACAAGAAGCGGGGCTCACCGATGGGGTCGCCACACCTTGCGATTGAACGAAATGGCGAGAAGCACCCCTGTGGGAATGGAATAACGAAGGTTTGACCAAAGCTAGATACAGACATGTCGAAACATCGGAACACAAATGGCTTTGCAACTGTAACGTGGAAATCAATCGGAATATATGAAAACCATGTCAGAGCATTGCGGTCTCAAACCCTCCTTTCCGCCTCCCTCCTGTCTCCTACCTCCTCCCTCCTCCTTATCCTCCTCTTTCTCCTCCTCCTCCTCTTCCTTCTCCGCCTCTTCCTCTTCCTCCTCCTCCTCCTCCTCCTCCTCCTCCTCCTCCTCCTCCTCCTCCTCCTCCTCCTCCTCCTCATCATCATCTCTCGCCCTCCTGCCTGCTACCTCCTACCTGCCTCCACTGGTGGGGCGGGCAACTGCGCAACTGTCGCCGTTTTCGCATGCCCTTGCGAGGTTTAGCGGAGTGGTGCCCCACGCAGATCCAGGCGGAACCTCGCCCTCCTTGAGGGGCTGGCAACTGCGCAGCCGTCGAGACGTTCGTGGGCTCCTGGAAGGTCCATCGGAGAGGGGTGTCCCACGCAGATGCAGCAGGACCTCGCCCTCCCTGCAGGGGCTGGCACTTGCGCTCTTGTCACAACTTCCGTGCGCTCCCGGGGGGTCCAGCAGACTTGCGTTTTGCGCAGATCCAGACGGGGCTTCGCCCTCTTCGAAGAGGGGGCAGGCAGGCAGGCTGCGCAACCGTCGCCACTTTCGTGGGCTCTTGCGAGCTCCCCCCTCCGCAGCTGTCGCCACGTCCGTGAGCCCCTGGCAGGTCCAGCGGATGGCGTCAGTGGGTGCGCCTGCGTGGCGCCCACCGCCAACTTCGGAACACCTCCCACGCGGCCGCCGTTCGGACCCGGGCGCGTCGCGACGGGGCCCCGTCCAGGCCTCCGCACAGCGGCCGCCTCGCCGTCGTGCGCGCAGTAGCTGCCGGAGCCTCAGGGGCGCACGTCTCGCTGCCTTCCGGCGCCCTCGGGGCAGTCCAACCCATCGTCTTCTTCCGCTTCCTCCTCCCTTCCCTGACGTCTTCGCGGGTTCTCCCGCGTCCCTGCGTCCTCTCTCCTCCCCCAATGGCCCCGGAGGCCGGGCCCGCAGGGCGCGCGTTCCCGCCCGCTTCGGCACACCCCCGATCTGCTTCGTGGCCCCGTGGGCAGCTCCGGCGAAGGACCCAGCGGCAGGGCACGGCGTCCCACAGCCCGCAGCCCATACTTCTACACCATTCTGCTTGCGCGTTCTCGTGGTCATCGCTGCCCTTTTGCTACGCCATGGCATCGGAGGTTTGGGGCGAGATCGAAGTGCAGCGGAGTCGCCCAACCAGGAGCATCGGTTTCGGTGTTGGTTCTTGTCGTGCGTGAGGCGCGCGACGGCGAGGCGAGGCGAAGTTGCACGGGCTCCTCCTGCCCTGGTAAAGGCCAGGTCAGGCCAAAATGAGTCGCCCTGCCCCCGGCTTTGTGTCGCGGTTTGTTGCCCCGATGGTTGTCCCGATGGTTGTCCCAATGGTTGCTCCGACGGTTGTTCCGACGGTTGTCCCGACGGTTGTCCTGAAAGTTGTCCGGATGGTTGACCCAGAAGTTGTCCCGATGGATGCCCCGATGATTGTGCGAGGTTATGATACAAAGCACATTACATGCGAAGCCACAATAATAAAAAAACACCTGCGAGGCCATGCCAGAAAATGCGCCTTACGGGCAAAGAAATTGTAAGTGCGCCCTGCGCGGCAAAAGTAAGTTTACACAAAGTGATTCCCCAATCAGCGCTAGATCTGTAGGGGTCCTAGCGGATTCTCACGGGTTAGGATTTGTTCGGCAGGATTTCGGTGGCTGGTGGACGGGTGCCGGGGTGCCCGTGTGCCCGTGGGTGCCCGGTGCCCCATGATTTCGGTGGCCCGGTGCCTGGGTGCCCGTGGGTGCCCGGGTGCTTGGGTACTCGGGGGTGCCCAGAGGTGCCCGGGGGTGCCCGGGTACCCTATAGCCATGTAGCCTTTTAGCCTTACAGCTCTACAGCCCAATAGCCCAATAGCCCATATTGCCTTCTAGCCCTATAGCCCTATAGCTCTAGATATGGACCTATAGCCCTAGTGCCCTAGAGCTCTAGAGCCCTAAAGCCCTATTGCCCTATAGCTCTAAAGCCCTATAGCCCTATAGCCCTATAGTCTTATAGCCCCTATAGCCCAATAGCCCTATAGCACTATACCCTTTCGCCATATAGCCCATATAGCCCTATAGCCCCATTGCCCTATAGCCCTGTAGTCCTATAGCCCCACAGCCCCAACAAAAGTCTGATTGGGTTTTTTCTCCAGTATCATAAGTGCGCCCTGCGCGGCAAATTATAAGTTTACACAAAATGTATCCTGCAGGGCAAATTCAAAATTCATTCCCCAATCAGAGCTTGACTCTGTAGGGGTCCTAGCGGATTCATATGTGTAGGTTACCTACGCCGCCGGTTTCGGTGGCCGGGCCCGGGTGCCCAGGTGCCCGGCCGGGGGTGCCCGGGCGCCCGTGCCAGGGTGCCCGGGGGCGCCCGTGTGCCAGGATGCCCGGGTGCCCGGGTGCCGTGGTGCCCGGGTGCCCGGGTGCCCGGGTGCCCAGGTGCCCAGGTGCCCGGATGCCAGAGTGCCTGGGTGCCTGGGTGCCCGGTAGCCTTATAGCTCTATAGCCTTATCGCCATAGCCTTATAGTTCTATAGCCCTAGAGCCTTATAGCCTCATAGCCCTATAGCCCTATATCCCTAAAGCCTTAATAGCCCAATAGCCGTATAGCCCTAATAGCCCTATAGCCTTATAGCCCTATAGCCTGATAGCCCTATAGCCCCATAGCCTTAGAGCCCTGTAGCCTTATAGCCCCATAGCCCTATAGCCCAAACCAAATGTATGATTGGGGCTTGTCGCCGGTATCACACATATGTATGTAAGTATACGCACAGTGATACATGTCCGTCCATACATTGGTACACGGAAATATGGTGAGACGTTGATATGGAATGCGATGCGTAAGTATAGACATACAGGTTCATATACATGTTGGTCGGTAGACGGACAGATCAACCAGTCGTCCCAAAGGGTTGTTTGGATAGATGGACCGTGAGATCGACAGATGGATCCATCATGAGATCGGAAAATAGATCATCAGACCGACGGATCGTGAGAACGATCGTAGATCATATACAGATCGACCGATCGACAGTGAGACAGATGCATTCATATATTGTGGTAGTTGGAAAGACGGTGAGATGGACCTACATATGGATACAGAGACAGACATCTATACATATATCCATAAATATCTACAGATACCGGTCTGTACACCTATACCGACAGGTATACATACAGACAGGTATGCATATCGATGGATGAGCATATGCACATTCATATTGATGTCCCGATGTGTGTCCACTTGTGCCCCCAATGCAGAACAAAGATGGCGTCAACCCTCCGAACAAACCTTCTGATGACCCGAAAGGTGGTCTATGAGGTATGATCTGGCGTTGTCTCGCTCAAATGTGTCCAGTGCGCCGTCCACTGCGTAGCCCGTCCCCATGTAATTTTCACAACAGACAGCGTTCCCTGCCGCATCGTCGTCCGTCACAATGTTACCTGTTGCTCTGGTCATTTGTTGCAGACGAGATGTGTACATCGCCAGGGAAAGTTTGAAATTGATGTGTTAAATCTTAAAATCCCTCTGTGTATTGAGACCGTGACATCGTGATAGGTGCGAGGGGCGGGTCCGATGTTCAGAATGTTGACGATGTCCCCAGCGAGGATGCATTGGTTGTGTAACTTTTAGGTGCAACCGCATTGTAAACCAGTGGGCTATTGAATGCTTCAAAACAGATTGAACGATATACTCCTATATATATTTATATATGTACAAGACTGCAGTGGCGCTTCGCGCCATGCACCTTGGTCCTTGAAGTTTGGTATGCAGGCGGAATGGCAGGAAGGTCAAGCCGACAATTTAGCGATAACTCCTGGTTGCCTTTTTCCGGCATCGCCGCTATAATGATGTTATTCGATATCTTTCCTCCATGCTTATTGTTCCTTATTTTCGCCATACCCTGCATGCACATTCTCCCCATCCTCCTCAGCTCTTTTTTGCGGAGGCTCCTCCTTGGAGAGCCTCTAGGGGCCTCACAAAAGTTGTTTCGGGCTTTCTTAAGACCTTCTGGAGGCCTCCTGGGCGTATTCTGGGGGCCTCCGGCGGCTTCCTCGGGCCACCCTGCCTCCAACCGCCGTCTCCCTGAACGACCGAATCACGATTTGGAATTCTTCGGATGGTGTCTTTGGGCCATCTTGGGCCGCCATAAGGCTCTC